AAACCATGTAAAAGTTTGGTCTTGGAAAATTCCAAACTAATTGTTTTTGGTAAGAAAAACGCACCCATCACAAGAGCAGCACGTAACGAGATCTCCTTTGTCGTGTTAAAGAAAGCACATGAACCATGTTTGTAATCCTCATGGAAATAAAGTGCGTTTATTTTAGAACATTTTTAGAACATTTTGAAACCGACATATTCTCTTAAAATTTTAACATTACAAAAACAAAAAACAACTTTGCAGCCTGAACGGTGCCTTGCAAAGATTAAATTAACTGAAGCTAGTCTTTTCAAAGTTGACTCTTCAGCAGTTTGGCAACTTGGTCGTTACAACTAGTAGTTGTTCAGCTGAAGCTCCTGACGCAGCAACGCAGAGACCTTTAATAAGTGGTTGGTTGTCAGTGAAATCAACTTTAGTGGTTAATGCATGTTACTCAGCATCACCCTGGTACAGCTGAAAGCTCGTCATCTCAATTTTTTAATTTACAAAATTAAAAAAAGAAAAAAAAAAATCTGTTCAGAAAGTTTAGTCTGAGTGGCACCACAGAACATTGTCACCGTGCCTCGACCCCACCACGTGTTATCAGAGCAAATCAATCCTTGGCACATGCTGAAGAAACTAATCCTATATATGGCGGGCATGCTTGATCTTAAAGTTTGTGCTGTCCTTTCTTCTGCTCAGAGGTCTTGAGTTGTCCGTGGCTACAAAAGGCAGACTGTCCTGTACGAACTGGAATAATCTCTGCAACGCTAGTTGTGTAGCTGCTTCTAAGCTGCATGACAGTTGTAAATCCACAGACAGACTGGTCTCTGCTATTGCATGTTTGAACTGAGGTGAAGTTGCTCAATGACAGTTTACAAAAATAAGTCCTTTGTCACCACGAAATCAGAGGAGACATTAAAAATCAGGTCAGGGGAGTTAAAACATCATCCTTACTGCAGCAAAGCTACGTTACCATGCGGCTAATTTGAAATTTCTCTCACAGCAACATGCTTTTGTTTACCCATCTGTAGCGTGTACATTCACAAAGTACGGGAGAATGCATTTACATATGAACATTTAACTTAATAAACCCAATCAAATGAATATTGGTACACTATAGCGTGATATGCATGAGTGGTATCCTTTTGCACCAAAAACATTTACCAAGTGACAATTTCAGAAAGTTTTACAGTTGATTAACAAATTATTTCCAAAGCGAACGGCAAAGTTGGAACCCTGAGATTTCTGTTATTCAGTGAGCCCGTGACTCTCAACAAAGTGACTCTGTAGGAAAACTTCATTGTGAAAACGCTCAGATCTGTACTTTTAGGTTCACAGTGCTAGTTGCCCTGTGTTGTGCTAGGTCGTCTTTTTTCTAGCTTTCGAAAATAGGAGGCAACAAGTACTAAGAAAATAAAAAGCAACAGTTTTTTTTGGACTGGAAGTGCTGAGTGCCAACACTATATAAAGTCACCTTCAGTAGTCAAATTGTTTTTGTTTAGAAAACCTTAATTAAACCGATTCAACCCCATTCCAGGCAACAATATGATCAATGCTTGTAGGCTGCTGCTGTGATTCTGAATTGGAAAATAAACTAAATAAATAAGAAGTAGAACCCAACCAAAAGGATCGTAGTCAATGAATCAAGCTTGAAGATGGAGACACACTATGCCAAGATAGAAATATAAAAAAGAGTATGCTTTTACCAAAAATACCATTTGGAAAATATCGGATACGGAGAGTTTGATATTGCCTGCGCAAGAATGATCTGCTACAGAAAGAAATCTGTGGTTGCATAGATGACTAGAGTGGTTTAGGAAGGTAAATTGAGGTGTGGTGGTTGCTTCTGGATCTGGAAAAGTTGTATTAATAGTATTCCCTCTTATTCCTTTCACTTCTCAGTGAGCGACAGCTGCAATATTCTCTCCAGCTCCTCTTCCTCCTGCTTCCTCATCCTGTCCTCCTCCTCTTGAACTCGTGCAGAGAGCTCCATGGCCAGGCGGAGCTCTGAGTCCGGACTAGAGACAGACGGGGAGCTGGCAGGGCTGGAGGTGTCTCTGTATTCCACTAGCACCCCCTCTGGGATACTCCTAGAAGGACATTGACAGTCTCTTTCACAGGTGCTCAACAGACAGACAGGGTCATCCAAGTCCCTGTAGAACTACCAAGTAGCAAGGACTGCTGCTTTTTATACATGCAATCACTTATTATTATATTTTATTCCATGCAATAACCTTAACCTTTGCCTACCTGTCACTCTGGCTACTTGGCAATGCATCAGTGAAGTCCCCGTCCACATCATCCCAGCTCCCTTCCTATGACCACACAAGCACAGAGGAGCATTTTAAGGATGCATTAGAAAATAACAAACACATGGGAAAATTACAGATTCATGAGGAGGTGTTTGCAAGTGAGCTGAATGGTGATTGTTCTGACCTGACCCGGGCCTCTGCGAGACTCCAGGAGACTCTGATGGATGGCGTACTGCAGGAGCTCCTCGTCGTTGTTGGACATGGGCGTGTGGCGGCTGCCCCCTCGGCGGTGGTAACTCGCAGGCACCTCAAACACCGCGGGGCACACCTGAAACAGAGGGAGCGCTGGGCGGACAAAAAGACAAGCAGGTTAGAAATTACACACATACAATTTGTATTTTTTAAACAGTGTATGAACTGGCTGCATTCTTACCTGCTGCTTCTTCATCGTCCCCTGAGGATGTCGGTGTGGCGGCTGCCGATGTCTCCGCTTCCTCTTCGGTGCTGCATTTGTTTACGTTGCCGAATGTAATCCTGGCATTCAGCACGTGGAACAGAGGGATTTCTGCAGGGGATTTACACACAAAGCAGGTAAGACAAGGGGTCAAAGTGCTTCTTCTAATTATAGTCTATAAAAAAAAAAAACATTAAAGGAATGTCACACACCGATTTTAACTGGAAATCCAGGAGGAAACTTGAGGGTTACAAAATCTCGCAGCCGTGCAAAATGGGAGCTGGTTCGAGCCATGAGGTCAATAATGGGGGTTACCTGCTCCACCAGGGACAGAGGATGTTCCTCGCTCATCCACAACGTACCTTTGAACCTGAGACGAGAAGAATGCAGAAAATGTTGTCCAGATGTGCACACAACATAATTTTATCATGCGAGGCAGTACAAATAGCAAATAAATTATGCGCTAAATAAACCCTAAATTGCGCCTTACTTCTGTGTTCGAATGCTCAGCTCAATGGGACGACCGATGTCTCTGTTCCCAAGATCAAAGTCAGGATCAAAATATTCCTCTGGAGTGATGGCAGTGGGATTATTGGCCGTTGCATACTCAAGAGTAAGGTCCTACAAAATGAAGCATACGCATGAAATGAGCTGGAGGGTGGGGGAAAAACAACAACACATTATTTTTACGTAATTACTGAATGCACATTTTACCCCTTGTGCACTTATGTGCTGCTCCACGGTCCCCAGCAGAGACTCCAAGATGTTCCTTTCACCTTCAAACGAAAAAAGTGTAGCTCTAGTACTTCAGTTCAGTTTCAGGAAAATGCAGATTTGTTATTAGTTTGGCATGAAGTCAACCATACGTCATAAAACATGTATGCGGAAGGAGAGAAAAGTAAAGATTGTGATGCTTTTACTTTTAATCCTGGCTTTCTCCTCGTCTGTGAGATGCTCCGTCCTCGTCCTGATTACCACATTTACGTTGTTTACACTGAAAACCTAAGAAAAAAACAATTACAACACAATGTCATATACTAGAATACAACACTGCTTACAGTGGTAATACACAAACGGATGATTTATAACCACTGCAAACCTTTGCTTCAAATCCATTGACCATTTCTGTTTTGTCACTTCTCCAGCCCCAAATCCCAGACTTGTTCCTGTGGAAAAAAAAGGTTGCAAGAGAATATCCATCTTTCAGTTTGCATTTACTTCCACGACACTTACAACAAACGACAGTGACAGTTGTCTATCAGGTAAAACTGTGTCTGGGGAAGTCATCCAGATAATTTATGAACTCATGCTAGCTGCACGGCGTGTGATTAACGCACCAATTTAAAAGCGAGAACGGACAATCTGACAACCTTTATATAAATAAATTGGTATAAATATTGGATTTTAGACAATTAGATTACACTATGATCCATAGATCAGCAAAAAAATGATGATTAATAAACCTAATGGAATTACACAGCAACCTCACCCGGGGAGTAATTACATTAAAACAAGCGTGAAAATGCCAACTCTAATGAAAAACTGTCACTGTGGAGTTCGAGCTTGGCCGATCAAAGGAAGATCTATCAGTGATGTGAGGAAAAAGGTCAACAGAAAAAGATCTTACCTCTCAAAAGCAATATCCTTTGTGTCCAAGTAGGTGTTGACAATAGGAGTAGTCAACCTTTTGGCAACTTCCTGCTCGGCCGGCTGCATTGACTCTAATGTGACATCCTCCATTTCCTGGGATATATTGAAGCGTTCCGTGTCCACTACTTCATCGTCGTGGTTCACCTCCATCAACTCTGCACATGAATCTAGAGACAGGGGTACACTGTCGTCATCATTTCACAGACACAGTACCACTCATTTAAAGAACTCAGGGAACTTCAGCTATGTGAGAGAGCTCAAACACACACACCATCTCCTCTGAAGATGTAGCTTCTACGCCCTCTGATCCAGGTCATGTTTTCAAAGCCCAGAAGAGTGGCATCCACTCGCAGGCAAGCGCCACTTTTCCAAATGCGACAAACATCACTTGGACAAACCCGGGACAGAAGAGGGACTGTGAAGCAACAGCATATGAATGTCACACAGTGGAAAGAAATGTTTGCAAATGAAACCAAAACAAATTGGAACTCCAATGACACACAAGTATGTTGTTTTTCCTGTATGACCTGGTGAAACAGTTTGTGTTGTGTGTGTATATTTAACCAGAGAAAACACTTGTAAATACCTTCCTCTTTTGCATTTTGAATTGCTGATAACCACTCTGTACTACATGTTAGCGTGTGCACAAAGTCTACTTCCTCAATATATATCTGTACACAAACAAAACAAAAAAAGAACTTACTCCAACTGGTGAATTCCCACTTCATTTCCATGTAGAAGTCCGGAGACTGGAGATGAAAAAAATAGAGCAATTACCTACTTTGTCAGTAAAGTGCCAGTAATTCCAGGCACACGTACAGATGATGACAAGAGAAGCGGAAGATATGTAGAGTAAAACCTCTCGGATTTTTGACAGCAGCTCAGGCACTCCTCCCAGAGCAGTGGAGGCTTTGAGGTAGTCTCGACGTTGAAGCACTAACTGAACCATCTCTGGGTCTCCGGTGCTGACTGCTTCCTGCAGCACTACACAGAGAGACAAGAATCAGCAAACCACTAAACCTTTTAAGGCAACAGCATCTGTTCCCAAGGAGTAGCAATTATCCATTACAAAACCTCAACAATGATGGTAATAACCAATGCAACCAGCTGAAGCTGCAGGAGTGGATGCGTATTTACCAGAAACCCCATTAACAGCAGATGATGTGTCGGCTCAAGAGAGGTAGGATCAAACAACCCATGAATTATCAAAAAGCATTTTGGCACAAGAAATGAAGGAGACATTTATGTTATGTAGCCAGTTTCTGAACTAACCTGTCCAATTCTTGGCGTTTTCTTTAGTCACTTCAGCACCGTGTCTCAGAAGGACTCTCACGGACTCCAGGTGCCCGAGCGACACAGCCAGGTGCAGAGGTGTCCGGCCTCTGGGATCCACAGCCTCAATTTCATTCTGCGAAAAGAAAAAAAGGAAAATACATAAATATGTGTTTGTGTGGCTCCATTGCACCGAGGTACCTGTTTAGATGAACGCTGCAGGGCCGACATGACGACCTGTTATATGAACGGATGAGGATACTGAGCTGAGCATTGTAACTGAAGGCTGTCATATTGTAACTCACAGAGATGCGGTTCCACACCTCTTAATTTAGGTCTTGGCTGATAATGATGCAGTAGTACAGTACATGAACATCATGTCTGTTTCTGGTATGAGTCATGCACATACAGTAAATGTATTATTGATCAGCATTGCTGGATTATATCACTGACAGCCACCACACCATAGTAATCATATTACAACAACACACAGTATGAACAGTGAGTCACTGTGAGTAACAACACAATGACAAATAATAACAATACTTAAATGCAAAACACAACTAATCTATAACTTATAGCTGTCACTCTGTTCCTCTGATGGGTGCTATCACATCTGTTTAGACTATATACTGTGTTTGAGCCATCCAATGAATTGGTTTGGTAGGGTTAGGTTAATCCGGAGACAAGCAGTGAATCGGTGCTGTAATATTATGCATATATAATGTAATATTTCAAACCTGTTGATCGGTGAATAGCTAAGTTATGTCCTCGAAATCTTCAAACGTGATCTGTGTGGCTGCGGAGCATCTGTCAACACCACTGGCCTACTTTAACTGGCTACGGAGATCCAACTCCTGGCTCCATCTAGCTTAGCAGGCACGAGTGTGGCGGTTAGCAGCATATTCGGCGTTTTTTACCCACCTGTGGCAACGTTATCTGTTCTTCCAGTTTCCTGTAATCGTTCTCCCACACTGCGGAATGCAGGGGGAACTTCTCTCTGATGTCTTCGCTAACGTTAGCCATGGACATCTTCCTCTCTCCGGAGCCTCTCAGTGCAAAGTTAGCCACCCTCTAATAATTACAGCCATGAGAAAAGCTGCGATAGCTGCACGCTCGTTCCTCTATGATGTACGATAAACACGACCCATGCCCTTAATATGTGACAGCAGCATCGAAATAATATCCAATCCGGTGACCAACTTTTCCCCAAGCCTTCCCCTAAATAAAACTTTTGAACAAGGAAGTGCCAGGAGGAGTAACCAGCACCGACGGGGGTGTCCTACATACAAACACACTCACGGTCTAATTATTAACATCCAACTAGGCTAACTTGCCAACCGACTTTAAAACGGCACTTAAATTATGCATAAGTACAATTATTTCTTTAACAGCTGCACTACAGAAACCAGATTTTTACATAAAATCATCGCGTTTAGAGAAGATAATAGTCAGTTCCAGTTTGGACGCGGCCATTCTGCACATCCGCATGGGGGGGTGCAGAACTCACAACCGAAGTTAAATCGCTATATAAATCAATTTCCTGTCAAACATTAGGTCTGCGTGTTAAGTTATATGATTATGATGCAGTCATCGACCAAATAAACCGCGTTGATGGTAAACTTTCTGTTTTGCTTTTAACGTCAAAATGGGATCGGCGCTGCCAGGGGGGTACGTTGAAAATACGAACCGGCGCCGCCAATGTGGTGCTGTGTAATATGTGCGCATAACGACTATCGGTAGTTTTAAATTAAATTCATTTCAGATTCTATTAAATAAGCTGTCGTGGCCTGTTCTGTCGACTCATCTACATCATGTCTGGTGCACTTTGCAGCTCTGAGGAGGCTTTGTTTATTGCATCCTAAAGGCGGACCACTGGCACATTACAGCCGATTCCATAATTTCCCGTTGTTTTACTTAAAAATACAGGATGTGTATTGATGTACGAAGGGTTTTTGTTTATTCATTTTTTAAAAAGACTGTTGGTGGATAGCAATGCATCATGCGTCGGTCCATTAATCGTTGTAAAACAGACCAAATTTATACCGTGTCACATGGTAAGTAAATCAAACCCACCTCCTGTGCTTTCGCTGTTAAATTTTTTCCCCTCAGAGTAGTCTGTCAGGATATGTACCGCCCAAACTTGCGACACACTCCACCAAAAATATTGCACCGTATATGAGAAATATTCTCAACTGAAGCTGTTAAATGCTGAGTCATAATATGATTGAGAGAATCACTGAAGTGAGCTCACAAGCAGGCGCTATTCCCTTCATTTGAACAGTTTTTATTTCCTGAGAGGCCAAACTGTGGGCATAATATCCACCTCACTGGGTCACAGTGGCAGCTGCCTGTAGGAGCAGCCCTGTGTGCTGCTGTCTACCAGAGGCTCAGCACTGACACACCAAATGGGCAGAGGCTAGTTAGCTAGTCAGGTGGGCGCTGCTAAGTCAGCTAACTTGCAGGAAAGCAGCATTGTACTGAGTCCAGTGAGGAAATGCTCGTAACGCCAGCCAACACCAAACGGCAAGCAACAGTTCAATGAAGTAGCGTAGCAGGTCGTTGCTTGGGTTGTTTTTAATTAGCTAGGTTTAGCTAACGCGGAAGGCATCTGCACACAGTAATCAATGGTTAGCATAACGGACCTAATAGTCTGCTCATTTTAAAAGGCATTTCTTCTTGAGTAAAGGATGTCTAAACGCCTGCGGAACACTGAGGTGTGCGCAGACTGCGGTGTTCCAGGTGAGTACATTCACACCATCCCTGCGGTGTTCAGCTGTTATTTATACACTGACGTTTGGTTCTGCAATCGCCAAAGCTGGATTAAAAAAGATTATCAGTGCTGGCACACGCTTCTTTCTTCTTCACAGCAATTTAGGCGTGCACTTTGCTGTTGTTATAATAAGTTGTTAACTCCAGAAGCAGCTGGTTTTTACAGTGTTGCTTGCTTAAAATTCCCAGACAAATGTTGTTGATATGTGTCATTTATATTGTATTTACTGCACAGTTGTTGTGTGCTGGTTTCTCTCAGCACTGGTGGCATGCAGACTTTTCTAGCAAATTTGAAATGCAATCATGCATTATGAAATGTAATCCTAGAAGTGTAGGAAAGTGCTCTGTAAGCTCCCTGTGGTGTCTGAAGTACAGTTAGGATGACTGCATCATTCATAAAAAGTCAGTGGTCTCCTGGCATGGTGTCTCTTGTTGACAGTGTATAATGAGGAATGGCTGCATGTAATAGCAGAGCTTCCCCCCACTCATTGTTATTATTTTTACAGGTTTGCTTTAAAAGAAAAAAAAAAGTTCTTGCACATCATAAATGTTTACATCTTAAACTCTTTTTTTTTTTTTGGGTTTAATTTAACCAGTAAAGGTCCTATTATATCTGAGCTTTATTAATCCAGATGATACAACTCAGTCTTACTTCCTTAATACAGTATATATATTACCTTTATATTATCAGACTAATACCAGCATCTGTAAATAGAGATCTGTTTATTCAAATAGCTTTAGAGGACAAGAAATCTGGCTTTTTCCAAGCAAATTCATCTATGAAAGCTGAAGTATTTGTTGCATTGTGTCTGAGATACTTTCAAAAGTCCCATTTGTATAGATGTGACGTGATGTTTTTCGGCAGGCACAGGAAGCAAAACAGGATGCTGAGTAAAATTGGCCTCGTACTCTCAATGCAGAAGAGATTTTTCGTCTGGGGCACCACTATGTAATGTAAATGTGATGGACTGTAAAATAAAAAAACAAAACATGAGATTCTTTTCCTTTTTTTCTCAACAACTTAAAACCAATATAAAAGTACCGTTTACTTGTTGGTGGAATCGAGAAGAGCAAAAGTATGCAAAATATTAAGGACCTTGTCTGTCATCATGTCATTCAAATTAGTTAACCCCGAGGTCCCCGCAGCAGCTGGCCTGGATTGCCCCACCATATGGCTGTTACCAGTTGTTGGGTGTGAATATTTTTAGCGTTTCAAGATGTGGTATTAAATTTAGCAGCACTTGTTGAGGAAAGGGTAAAAGAGGCATGTCAGCACTAAGGCTCAGGTCTTGTTGGAGAGTTGTTAGGAGGAAAACTGCGGACCAGGAGTCAGAATCTTGACCAGCAACCCCCTGCAGCTGTTGTTCCTGCACCTCAGCTGCTGTTAAGCCATTTACAGTCTTCAGTGTCTGTCCTGTCACGCCGCCAGCCGCTCAATCTGCTCAACAGTTCGTCGGCTGTAGGAACGCCGTATGAATTTACAGTGTTTTCAGTGTCGAGGTGTTCGCTGTCAGAAAGTCTTTGTAGAAAACAGTACGACTCTGTGACATTTATACCATGTGCTAAATAGGTCAAGGTTAAGTAAACATATTTATTTTGGTCACAGAGTATACTGTAACTTGTAAGTGCACGCTGGCTCTATTTCTAACACTCTGCGCTACCTGAATATGCAGCTTTAAAAATGCTCAGCTGTAAAAATTCTTCCTTTGTTTCTTACTGTCTTTACGATGTTATTGAAAGAGGAAGCTGCTCTATTTGGAGGTGCCTCAACCTACAACTGCAAGTTTTCACTTCCTTTTTTCACAATGCGTGGCTTCACCTAAACATGCACTCGATAAGGCCTGAAATGACTGTTATGGCTGCATGTATTGCTGCCCACTGGGTTTTCCCTTTTCTGTTTTTTTTCTCTTCTGCTTGCATTGTGTTTGTCCGCATGAGGTCTGGAAGCTTCCTCGCAGCATGTTCTGATGATAAAAAGGTTTAACAATGAAGAACTTTAACTTCCAGTGTCATATTAGTTGCGTTTGCCCAAATAATGCTTCCAGTGATTTGATCCGTTTTTTTTAGACTTAGTGGCATCAAAAAAATATGAGTCAAAAATCTGATTAAAAGACAAAACCGATGCTTTGTTAGCCTGTTTCTCAGAGGTTTCATCTGTCGTCACGCCCCCTAATTGATCCAGATATAAACATTTGAAATACAAAATGTCTCCTTTTGGACCGCTCAGTATTTTTCTAAGACAGTGGGACGCTAGATTTCAGCAAATGTTGCTCAAGCAGGAGTGAATGAATACACATTTAGTGCTCCAGTGAATGTTTCTGGCTGCAGGATGGTTTATGTGGAATTGACTTGCTGAGGTCTTTCAAATCATTTTTGGAATAGTCAAGGTCTCTGGCACGGAACAATAAACTCAATCAGACCTTGGCTAAACAGACAATACTTCTGTGTAAGATCAATTAAATTATGGATTTTATTTCTTGGGTTGGGAGACAGTAACAAAAATGAAGAGTATCACCAGCTGTAACCGGTAAGCTTCTATCTGTGGGAGTCGATTCACAGCTCTGGAAGCAGGAGATTGTTGGGTCCAGTGTGGTGCTGGGAGGAAGAAGGATGTTAAGAGCAGCACGTTGGTGGTTTTAATGATTGTAAATAATGTTTAGAAAAAGAGAAATGACTTGCATTTTTAAGTGCCTCAGGGCAAAGCAAGAGCAAATCAAATCTGCGAGAGCCGCCGGATACGATACTGTACTTTTAGCTGCTTCTTAACTTACATCTTTAATCGGTTGACGTTTATGAGATCATTCCAAGTGTCGTAGTTTTGACTTTGATTTTCCTCTTGATTCCCTCTCAGAACCTCGCTGGGCCTCGGTGAACAGAGGTGTGCTGATCTGCGATGAGTGCTGCAGCGTTCATCGAAGTCTGGGCAGACATAGCTCCCAAGTCCGCCACCTGACGCACACACCATGGCCTCCCACGCAACTGCAGGTAAATAACCCCGCACAGAAATAATGTATATTTATGCTCACTTTTGCCATGCGCCTCCAACTTTTCTGTGAAATCGTTGCCTTTGTTTGTAGTTTATAGTGGATACAGGCTGAACTGCTGCCTTGAGATTACATTGTACTTGCAGACATCTGCATTACTGCAGTTTTAAATGCAGCCGGCCTGTTTCTTCGCTCAAGATAAATGTTGACAAGAGCTGCTCATCAGATCCGTATTGATTTTGTTCAAAAATAGCTGCTCAGGAATGGAATTGTTAACAGCCGGTCAGCATTCTGCCGTCTAAATCAATTATTTTACCCAACGCTTTCTCATTTCACACAGATGGTGCAGACATTATACAGCAATGGTGCAAACTCAATATGGGAGCACTCCCTTCTGGACCCTGCGTCTGTGATGAGTGGAAAACGCAAGGCCAACCCTCAGGACAAACTCCAGTGAGTCACGATTGTTTGTCAATGATTGAGTACTTTTTGTTTGCCAGTTGAAACTTAATTGCTGAACCTCCAGTGTTGATGTGGGCCGCTTGCTCAATCACAGCCTCTCTCATTTCTGTGTTTTCACGTTGCTGCAACAGCCCAAACAAATCAGAGTTTATAAAAGCCAAATATCAAATGCTGGCATTTGTCCATCGCATGCCTTGCCGGGAGGATGACAGCTCAACAGCCAAGGATTTGAGCAAGGTGAGCAGAAACAGTGAAACATGTCTT